AATAATAATATCCATTTCGCAGAATATACTCAAGCGCTGAAAGTATTCATGAAAAATGTACACTATAATTTCATGTAAATTGCAATACAGACGACATGAACAACACTATTAAGAGTACATCGTTGAAATAAGTTGACACAAATATAGACTAAGGAAATATAAAATAATGAAAAAGATGTAATGTGGACAAATTGAATTAATCAAACATGGTTTTGAACAACGGTTGCTATTTCTTTAAGAAGCTCTGGTAACTGATTCCATAGAACTGATCAAGCATTTGCAAAAGATCGCCCCATGCCCCATGATTTTGTTGTGTTCATGACTACAAGAAGAGAAGTTGTCTTACTATTATTATTAAGGAAAGTAAACAAAGTACAGTTGTCTTTAGGGGAAGTACAAACAATGAAAAACAAGTTAAAAAAAATATAACATAATGTACGACATTAAATCGGCAACCAATGTAGATATCTCAAAACGGGATTCATGATGATTAAATAATAAATTCACTCATCTGTAACTATTAAACCATGAAACACTTTTTCCAACAAGAGACATTGTGTGTATACAGAATAGGAAACTGTGTGCGATAACACAAAACACATCTCTAAATAATGTTAGTATTTCTAAAAGGCAGTATTCACTGGTATTGCCATTAATAGTGCCGATAAAAAAATATGGAAAATACAAAGTGGGTCATAAAAGGTTCACAAATTCTCAAGTATATAAGCTATATGGATGAGAATAATTATGTATAACACGATAATAACTAGTTGAAGAAAAAAAATAAACGGTCCCAAGTATATAAGCTATATAGATGAGAATAGGTATTTTATAACACGATAACAACTGGTTGAAGAAAGAAAAATTACCCTAAGAAATTTTCAATGGCTTTATACGTCATCTTCCTTAAATGTGCGAACATCACAATTGCATATGAAGTATTAAATCCGATAATGGTTTATATAGAACATAAAGTAGGGTATGGAATCGCTTATGAGTTAATTTTTCGAAAATACTTGCCATACGATGCTTCAATGAATCCAAATAATACTAGAAACGTCCAGGTCATCATCATGGTCGAACTCTGCTTCAAAGTTATCCCAAATAGCATGAATAGTATGCAAGATGGCGTTGATGACAAAACGGGTAATTATTTCAATTCAAAATAATATGAAAATTCTACCGCAGGAGGTAGGAATATCCATCAAAGAGACAATTAAAAGGAATGCCTTAATTGTTACAGAAGCAGCTGTCTCATTTCGTTAATTGAGTAGTATTAGACACTAAAGATGCATCAGTTTGTTTTGAAATACACTGTAGAGCCAAGGATGTTTGACGACGAAGTAGATGCTAGCAGTGTCTCTTTGATCAGAAGGTAATTTTAATTATGAGCAAACTCTGCGCGGCACAAGCTAACTTCAAACAATGCGGGCTACACTGCTAAGAGGATGATGCGCGTTAGGATTGGCGAATATCAGTCAATTCATTGAGCTTGATCTCGCTAGGAACAGGTACGTAGCTAAAGGGGCGCGGGGATACCTCCCCCATTAAACAACGAACATTGAGTCAAAGACGGAAAGGTTAGGGAGCACAAGTGGAACGAAAATAACAGGACCACTTTTACCTTTCGAGCCCACCTTTAATCGGACGCCTCATAATCATATTCAAGATGTAGGGCGGTAACGAGGATGACCACCCCTTCCCCATAGAGGGGACCCACGGGATAATGATGACATTGATTGTTATATTTGCATTGCATAATGTACACGAGGCGTCATTTGCGTTGGAATGCGTCTGCGACTGCTTTGGTTATGGACGCACATTATGTGATAACATACTCAGTGCAGTTCAGTCTTTATTTTATTCTTAATTAAAACAATTATATCAAGGGGGCAAAACCCGATTTTCTTTATTTATTTTTATTATTTTTTTTTTTTTTTGGGGGGGGAGAGGGGGGGGGGGCGTTGAGACATGTGAGCACAATTTACAATACAATTGTGAACCAAAAGCGTGAATTCTAACAATTTTTTCCAAAGATTTGATTTGCCCCATAATACATATTTCTCCATTTGGAAAGTATTATGATGACTACTGACTTTTATGGTATGGTTAATATTACATTAAAATTTGAAGTTCATTGCATTTTTAACAAAATAGATATGGGCGCTCTAAAGTTGACACTTTGATATCAAATGAAACGGCAACTTCGGTTGCTAAGGGCTGTCTTCTCCTTAGCAACACTAACATAGTGAGCTGAACATAGAGTACAACGCGAGTAGATGCTATCATCAAACAGATGACTATTTTGATAGGTAGTGTGATGTCAGATGATGCAGTTCCATCACATTTTAATGATATACATCTCTTAGTTCCAGTTCCTATGGTAATAATATGCCTGGCAACCAATAATGTGTTCTCAGAGTCCAAATTAGGCTATCAGTCAAATAGTACATTTAATAAGACCTGATTCCAAGGGACATTCATGATTTGCAGCGTAAAACATGTGCAAGGTGCATGATGTGGTTCAGAACTTTCACCCTGCCCCCGGGTCCCTCCCTCCTTTGAAATGCCCCTTCCCCCATTAAAATCAAGAGAAATTCGGGACGGGGGCAATAAATTGTGTAGTGTGTGTTCAGAAACGATGTAGGCAATCGGTCGAATGATACATTTTGAAAAATCCGGATCCACATAATAGTAATAGTCATGATTGTCAGTCTGAACCATGAAAATAATGTCTGATGGAATTCAGAATTCGCACCCTATCCAACTTCTGTGACCCCTACCCCCTACCCACCCCCTTAAAAAAAATGTGAAATAAACCGATTATTATGAAATTAACTGACATAATATGAGACTTAGATTTAATAAAATAGATTTACACTGTGAAATACACTGTCGGTCGTATAGTTGGAATATATTTTTTTTACCCCAATTTTAGAAGTATTTTGACAATGATTTATTCCTAATAGATCTAGATAATAGTATACATTCTCAGATTTCATTGAATAATAATTTGCCAGTGTTTATTTTGCGTGACTGCTAAAACATGTGTATGCTACTATGCTTATCAACTACGGGACCTTCGCCCTTTAGTCATAAATGACAGTAATGAGGATTAATGCCCCACAAAAGGGCACTAATATGGCACATCGACACAGTTTTGATCCTTGGGCCTCACAGTTTCGAGGCCATTGCTTTACCACTAAACCATGACTGTACGCAACGGGGACTAGGGTAGGGGGCAGTTCCCACAAATAAAAAAAAGAAAAGAAAATGTAATACATTTTTTAATAATTCGTTGAATTTTATCCCAGTCCCCAACTTAAAAAATCCTCTGTACGACCATGCATTATGGCTCAAGGCATGGGCACACAGAACTATTTCTATGTTGGGGACCTGGGTTAAACTAAGCCCATAATACCCTTCTGCCTTCGAGAAATTGGATAATCAACAAATTACCGGTGCTCCTGGTAAATTTCAAATATTTCAAATAGCACCAAAAGCCATTCCAGGGTAGCTGTGGCCATGAAAATCTCAGAATATGCAGATCTGTATATGATTTCTAAACGGGAATAGCAAATTGGTCGATTGTAGTCAAGAAACATTGTTCTAAAGCTAAAGTAATATCAGTCTTGAGAGGGAACTATACAGCATAAAAAGTTTATTATTTACAATTTCTTATTTTTGCATTCGATTTCAACCGCGATAACGATCATCGAAAACTGTAAAATTACATAAGCTTCCAATATGTTAATTTGAACCAAATTCTTGAAGCAATAACAAAACTTTGTATTACCTTTTATAAAAATTTCCCTTTTATCTCACAAACGCAAATCATTTTCCCACCCCCTCGCTCATTCTCTTTCTTTCCCTCCATCCTCCTCTTCTCCCCTCTCTCATCATGTCTCTCACATCCAGGTACATACGCAAGGGGGAAGGGGTTGGGGGGGGGGTTACCCCCCCCCCCCTCACAAATAAAATAGTACTCACTACTCACTATAAATCAACATTCATTATGAATAATTACAACTAATTATAACGTTTTTTATTCAATTTTATTCGCATAACTTGATAACTTGATAATAGTAGAGACTCCTGGGACTGTGGAAATTATTCCTGCGCCTATTCCTGCGTTCCACGGATCTTGCTAGTTGCCATAGCCCAATTTCTAATAATCTGTTCTGTTTTAGTTGCGTTTTTTTCTTCATCTAATTCGTCTCCATCCATCCGCAACGTACTAGCTTGCGTATGATTAATTTTTTTTCGTTCATTGATTTCATGATTTTTTCCGGATAATGTTTTGGTGGTGAAACCATAAAATCATCGACTTCTAAATTAAGCATACAAATTGCGTGAAGTTGTCTTCAGCCGTTCGGGTATGACCAAACCTAATGGCTCCTCAGGGATAATACATACAAACATGTACATTCTGGTCGCCGTATCATGCCATACGATAATTATGAATCGAGTGAATATCTATTTATTTTCTTACAAATGTATTTGGTTCCAAGATGTAATAATGATTCGGGTCCGGATATATTAGATTAACAGGAGTAAAATTCGCAGACGACTACTGCGAGTGAGCGAAAGTTTGTTTTAGTCGAGAAGTTTTTGTGTAATGTAATTATCATCATAATTTTCATCATTATCAAATTTATCAGTATCACCATCATTCCCATCATAAATAACATCCTTGTTATCATAATTTGTATCATCATCATCATCATAATTATTATCATTATCATCATCATCATCTTCATTATCATCATTACCTTAGTGATGACGATGATGATGATGCTGACTAGTTTTGAGCAATATATTAATCATTATTATTATAATTGTTAATATTGCTGTTGGTGATTATTATTAATATTTTCTTCATCATCATTATTTTTTTCTTCATCATCAGACTACTCTCTCAGCAGTCCAAAGGAAACTAAATCCCTCACCTGCTGCAAGACGAAGATGGCGCACTAACAAAACTGAAAAGACGTCTGTTCAACTATAACGTGGGCGCACCTGCCGGGCGGCGAAAATCTTTAATCATAGGAACTGAGAAAGGATACAAGCTACGCTTTAAACGAACCGTCGACCATCCAATAATTACTCATATTCTCAATAATGAATACACTTAATTAGATATCAATGCTGATCAAAGACCTATTTATAGTAGTACAAAATGTGATTTAGGATTTGAAGTAGAGTTCGGGTCACGTTTAGGGTTTAGGATTTCAACGAGTTTAAGGTTAGCATTAGGATATATTGGGTATCCTAGTTATACAATAAAATCGTAACAATCCAACGCATACTCACGGTATTGAAGTTTGTTGCTCAATAGTACATGTATGTGCCATCGAAATATAATGGAGAACTGAATACTAAACTTTGATACGAGTAACAGTAATACACACTATAAGACTTATCGCATAGCTTGCATTTAAATCTTCACTTGCCATCCTACGATTAATCAAATATCTGCTGCCGGCCGGCGTACACATTTGGGGATCACGTCACCTTCGGCTTGCTGTATTAAAGCAATGGAGCTCTCATTATTGGTGGAGTTTCTAAAAGGGGAAGTCCATCCAGATATCAAGTTGGGTTTGATAGATGCAGAAAAATAGGCCAGGTCAGTGAATGGGTTTTCAAAGTTGCGATTCAATCAAACTCAATTTGGCAACTCTGTGACGTATCTTGCAAGCTCTCGTTCCGTTTGGTATGCACTAAACAAATCTGAAAATTAGACTTTTCTTCTAGAAAAAAATGTCAATCATACCTGCACCCTAAATATATTTATTGCAAATGAGTTTCTATAAAATCCCTGTATGGAAAAAACTATATCTTCGTAAAAAATGAAGGGAATGAAAGTTCATGAAAACTGGAGAGGAGCTCGCAAGATACGTCGCATTTGCTCTGTACTAAAACAATCAGAAAATTGCATTTTACTTCTAGAAAGCTGTCAATTATACCTGCATACTAAATATAACTATTGAAAATATGTTTCTATACAACCCCTGTATGCAAAAAGAAATCTAATACGTCATTAATAACGACGAAAATGAAAGTATATGCAATTTTCTGTATAATGCAAAGCGGAGAGTCGCTTGCAAAGTACATCACAGTATTGTGTGCAAATTGTGTTTGACTTCAAAAATTCATAACTTTCTCATTTTTTATCGGAATTTGATCAAACTTTCACTGAACTGTTCTTCTGATATGTTATTTACAGCAAGAATTGAGTAATTTTTCTCTTTCATTTTGATTATTCTAATCTAAAACCTCGTAGCAAACAGCATCACTACGGTTTTACAAGACCAACCGGTCCTAGGTCATTCCAGACAGTTTCTTTCGCATTATTATTTCATGATCAGTATTTAATATCATCAGACTCTATAAAATACAGCGCAAACAAATACATCAAACCACGAAAGCATTATCAATTTATTTGCTTGTTTGTTTTTAACAAGACGTAGGACGATGCCCGATTGAGAAAAGAATATCACAGGTCCTCTGACATGAGGACGCCGTATTAGCTGATCCATCCTGACGAGTACCCGAACAACTTTATCAAAACCTAGTGAAGATAATGATACAAATTGTATTTGTTTTCTCATTTCACATCAGGCTTATATATACGGATCAACATGATAGCCAAATAAGTTAAAATCGGCAGCATACAGCATAGCAAGTTTGTACACAAGTGACCTAGGTACATCCCGGTAAAATTTATCGGCCAACGTTGGGTCAGAACTGTTTGTCATAGAAGACAGATTTGGTTTGGGAAATGTAATGTCTGGATCAATGTTTGCAAGTCGAAGAACAAAGTCGGCATCTTCGTTTATTGTCTCGTATTTGCCAATGATGTCATAGTCGATATCGCAAGGTAGGCACATGGAATAGATATCAGACCAGTGTCGGTTGTAGGAATCTGTATCGGCATCCACCAGAAACCGAATAAATTCTGAAAAAGTAAGATCGTATTCTTGTTTCCAGTTTGAGCTAACACGGCGGGCTTCCGAGTTGCCGCGGTACCTCTTTATAATCTGTTTTCCATATTTTGAAACCCATTGCTCCTTTTCGTCTCCATGCCGAAAAAAGAAAGAAATATTCGGAGCGAGCTTGTTTCGGAAAGCGGAAAGAATCCGAGTGAAGGGATGTCTCACGAAGACGAACTTCGTGTAGTTTTGTAGCATGAATCGCCTCTGGCTGATGTTGTACTGGTGAAGGTAATCAAGATAGAGTCTTCCTTTTGCATTGGGACCGAGATGGTATTTGCCTGAAGTATTGAGATGCGCAAAGCCTCCTAACTCCAGAAAAACGGTCTTCCAATTGGTACAGGCCACTTTAGGTACGTTACAGTAGATGATTCGATGTTCTTCGTTAACGATGAGGTGTTCTGGTGGATGTAAGGCTACATCTTGGATCTGATGAGTTTCTCTCATGAGGGCGCACTGTTCTTTCAACCGTGCCTTCCGCTGCTGAAGGATGGATATAAGTTGATGATCTGCCTCAACTTTCCTGCTAGAAGGGTTATCCTAGAATTGAGGAAATGGAAAATCAAAATAACGATTTCAAAAATACATATTGTACCCCAATTTTAAAATTAGAGTAGGTTGACTACATATTTTTATGAGCGTCGTAGCATCCTTTGTTACAACTCAACTAAAAAAAACATGATGACATGTGCTAACATATTTTGTCAGTAATATGTGGATATGTCTTCTTTATAAAACCGGGATCACGTGAACGGGACTTTTTGAGCAACGATTTGGGCTTGCTCCCTCTTTCTCCCACCGCCTCAATAGCTCTCTGTCTATGAGGCATGAAATTCACATGGTATGGACAGCGGAAAGGTGATTTACATGAGGCTTTTAGAATAGGGACTAAATCGGCGTAAGGCCACAGCTGGTGACACCATCACAGGTATAATATATAAATTCTGCACAAATGAACGAACTGTTGGGAGCTAGAAAGGCGTCAACTTTTTGTGGAAATATACACTGTTGGTCATCATGGAGGAATTGTTTTTTTTACCCCGATTTATATAAAGATTTTAACAACGATTTATTCATAAATAAAGCATATCGAAACAGTTTTGCTCCTAGGGGCTCACAGCAACGGGGCCATTGCTTAACCACTGAATTATGACTGTACGCAGCGGGGGGGGGGGGGGGGGGGGGGGCTAGGGTACGTCGCCGCCCCCCCAAAAAAAATCAATAAATTTTCAATCATTCATTGCATTTCCCCCCGGTCTCAAACATTAACAATTTCTCTGTAGGACAATGCATTATGGGTCAAGGCATGCCCACATAGGTGATTCTTTTATCTTAGGGCTTGGGGCAAAATGCAATGAATTATTGACAATTAATTGCATTTTCTTTGTTTTTTTTATTTGTGGGGGCGGCGACGTACCCTAGCTCTCGCTGCGTATAGTCGTGATTCAGTGGCTAAGCAATGGCCTCGTTACTGTGAGTCCCCAGGATCAAAACTGTGTCGATATGCTTTATTAGTGCCCTTTTATGAGGCATTATTCCTCATTGCTGCCAGTTATGACTTAAGGACGTAGGTCCTCTAGTAGATTAGCAGAGTAGCATACACATGCGTTAATAGCATTCACGCAAAACTAACACTCACAAATTATTATTCAATAAAATCAAAGAATGTATATTACTATCTAGATCTAGTAGGAATAAATCATTGTTAAAATCTTTCCATAAATCGGGGTTTTAAAAAATTATTGCACCTTTATGGCCAACAGTGTATTACATAACGTCATTGTGGCTCCAAACCGAGGAAACATGCAATAAATAAATTAGATTTACGTCCGCTTCAAACTATACGATCCGAATGCGGTACGATTTGGGAGAAGTTGCGATATCAAAGAAGATAAAAATGTTCACGTCTGACAAATCTCCCCACTTAAGGTTCGCTTTGCTCATATAGATAGTAAAACGAGAAAAAAAAATCGAATTCCAAAATTGAAAAAGAAAGAATATCTTGTGACTGGTCATTACTAGGACTGCAATGATACGTATGTTTTTACCGAAGGTTAAAAGTGCCGACGAGATGACGACGTAATGTAGGACAAGAAGACGAGAAGACAAGTTAAAAGACGAGAAGATGAGTTGTTTGAGCTCGGCAAGTCAATATTTAGGACAATAATACAAGGCAACGAGTTGTTGGAACTCTGCAAATCTTTTTGGGGTAGTTTACCACCATATAATATGGCTCCACCCTTTTCTTCGCTTGTCTGCCGAAAGGTGAGTCATATACCAGGTGACCATTATCCTTACCCCAAGATATTGATTTTTAAACAGCCTTGGTTGTGGAGGAAAAAATACATCGGAGTTCCCCCTACCCACTTCAACCTTAAATCGATTTCCAGTGTTGTCACCATGGCGACATTTCTTCCTCTCGTCCTGAACAACAAGTCAACTTGTAGAGTTTCAACAACTCGTCGTCTCGTCTGTTTGTCCCAATCTATTTCGTCATCTTGTCGGCACTTTTAAGATTCCGAACTGTTCAAATATTCAGTCAATATTATCAACAAGACCTAAAAAAATTAAATTTTCATTTAATTATTTCTTCCACAACAGTTTTAGATGAGCTGGCTCAGTCTGCCTTGTGTGTGAACGTGCCCCTCCCCTTGTTTCATAGATGCAGGCTATGTTAAATGGAATACACTCCGTCCCTCGGATAAGACGTTACATGGAGGCCCTGTGTAGAGGAGAGTCACCACCTTTGCACGTTAAGTACCTACTGCACTTTTTGTATAAGAGTAGGTGGGTAACCCCGGTGACATGCTCAACCTGCACACCCCTAATCAGTTATACCGGGAGGAGAGACCCGAGGGTTACAGTGATTCAGTTCGCTTTTCGCCATCCATGCACAGGTGACGCCACATAATAGATTTTTGCCCTTTTTGCGATGTGCTCAAAGAGAAAGTTGAGTTCTGGTTGGATGAAAAATAATTTTGAACTTTCTTGTTATCCTCAGTTTGAATGAATGTCATGGTCCGCTGAAAGTGGCTGCTCTTCAAATGCGCAGAGGGCGCAGGTAGCTATAAGTAGTGCAGTGGGACTTAACAGCAAGAATACGCTTTATTTTTCGATAATTTAACACAAAAAACAAAAAAACTTATAGTATATGTATATATATATATTTATATATTTATATAGCAATTCCTATGCATTGCATTTCCAGCCTTTCCCAATTTCTTTCGCAATGTAATCGTATTAACAGTTCTCAACTTTATGTTAAATTCGATGTGTATCATACATACTAGATTCGTGCCCTGAGTGAGACGTTGAACGGAGTCCTTCATTAGCTTCTCCCTGGGTATGTTGTCCTCAGCTGCAAAGGTTGACCATAAATAAGTGAAAATTGGAATTGATGTTGAAATTTATACTCTTACTACTCTTACTACTACTACTACTACTACTACTACTACTACTACAAACTACTATTACTACTACTTCTACGAAAGTCATTTCAGCGATATCAGTTGGTATTTTCTCAATGATCGGGGTATACACATGCACTTTACTGTAAGAAGTGCGAAAGAAAGGGTAAAGGAAGTTAATGACGAAGAGAGAGTGAGGGAATTTTTTTGGCACTAGGGTTCAAATTCAATTTTCTTTTAATAGTTTTTACGCCCGGTACCGATGATCATTTACTTACCATGTGACGCTAAGCGAAAAAAATACCATAGCGCCATTTATTGTAATTGAAAGCAAGTCAGAATTTTGTTTGGGAACCAGCGGGATCTACTGGTTGCAAGCCTAACATTTCTTAACAACAATTTTCCTAGGAAGCCTAGCACTTGACAATGCTGTTTATTCAATTACTAGTAGCATTGGCGAGATGATTGAAAAATAAGAATGATATTACAACGTCGTTAATCGTGAGAAATTTAACTTCTATCTCTTTTTGCGAACAGTAGAATCAACAGTAAAATGAATCCTCATAAATTATGCTTCAAAAGAGTAAATTGCTACTCCATGTCATGTTTGTATTAAAGAGCAGCAATGGCGAATACTTGTTATTCAGCAACAATAATTGCTAAGATTGCTTTTGGGAGATGAGGCTAGATAAAAATATAGCCAACAAAATTGATATCGTCTTGACAAAAATAGATAACATTTAAAATTGAATAAATAAGACATAAATGTGATCTCTATAGCCGAGGATGACGAATTTAATTTTAATTTGACGAATTTGGATGCGAAAGGATTAAATTGATTGGACAAAGTTAAACCAAAAAAAAAATGAACGACCGAAGGGGGAAATTGACTATGCCATGTGCAAGATTAGAAAGTTTTGGGACAATTCATTGGAAAAAATGTTCAAATGGGCGGGAGAATCTGAATATACGTTGTCGTTAATCGTGAAAATATTTTCTTCTCTCTTCCTCTCTGGTAAATCCTCCGAACACTAGGAGGGTTTTTTTGTTAAAATCCTTTCACTATGAAGGTTGAAGAGAATGCCGATACTATTTGGTAGAAAACAATGTCAACAAGTTATTTATCAGCATGAGAATATTCACCTCTCTCTCCCTCTCTCCCTCTCTGCTATATCCTCCGAACACAAACAGGAAACATTAGCCAAACTAGGGCGAAGGTCACCCTATGCCAGAAGATATATAAGAGCAAGTTGCAGTATTTTTCGACAAAAATTAGGAGAGAAGGGTGACAACCTGGAAAAGATCATTACCCAATGTCATGTTGAGGGTCAACGAACGAAACGTGGAAGGCCAAGAGTTCGATGTGCTGACGGAATAAAAGAGATTACTGGCATGAACATCTGCACAGCTCATCGCTATGAACAGTATATAAGTGGTTGTAACGTCATCATCAATAGGGTCACTCAGGGTCATTCTTGACTCGTCAATCCAAATAACATATTAGGGACTTTTAGATTCGCACGAAGACAATGGGGATTGCTACGGTCGACGTTCTTTTAATGCACTGCCTTGAATGGACGTCACACGTATCAGTCCACGCAAATCTAAAAGTTCCTATTTATAGAGCACTGCGGTATATTGGAGAAGGCTCTTGACTCTCATACAAAAGGTTCGTCTCTTACTCAATGCTGCTTACATCCTTAGGCAAGGTGTTTTGCCCACATATTCCCTCTTGACCCAAGTGTACCTAGCAACGATGGAGTAATAACATGTGCAGGGCCCACGGGAAGGGCAGTGTTGATAGTGATGTGGCTATACCCTGGCTAAATTAGACTACATTTTCACAGTGACCAAAATTCTCATACTTTTTCTGTTTATTTTTGCAAGGCAAGAGTCGGAAACAATAATAACGACTGATCAATTTTATTCAAAAGACAGAGTATTATTGTTATCATTTCATCGTGTTTTTTCATGTGATATTGACCCATCCTATCCCATTAAATCTACATGTAGTTTCTTGTCGTAAAGAAATGATAACGGGCATTATTTGTTCATCTTCCCAAATTAGTTCACATTGAGGTAATTATTCAGGTTTTATTGTTTATTGTTCAATTGTGGCAATCAAAAGACAATTGCTCAATTATGGAAAAATAAAAAAATCATCTGTTTTGTTTTCATATAAAAGATCACTTTTTTATCCTGTGAAAACCGCATTGAAAATATAAAATCCAAACTACTACTTTGTGTGGATTCCACTAAATTTAAGTGGAATAAACTCTAAAACGAAGTGATTCCTAATTATGAGTCCGGAAAGAGTGAATCGAAACGTTATGCCCTGGTTCTTTTAAAGAGCAGCAATGACAAACGATGGTTGCTTAAATTCAGCCACAACCGTTGCTAAGATTGTTTTCCCTAAAAATTATAAAATGAGACATAAACAAGGTATTGGAAGTTGGTAACACATCCAGGCAATGTTGCAACAATGAGTTGTCAGAGCAACTGCTCTACCAGACATAACTATTACCCGAAAGCAATGTTCTGGATCTTGATTTGAATCTAGTAAACAGTTGGAAATTCGAATAAAAAGACATGGCTGTTCCTTTATATATCAGTCAGTAACATTAATATTTTTCCAAAAATTTAATTTCTTATAATACCTTTTTCAGTACAAATATCGTTTGTTCTACCTTATCGTTACATCAATTGGCTCAGATAAGATTGCAATCAAACTGGAAGCTAAAATTAAACAAACTTAGATGCTTACATTTTGTTTGTATGTTTGTATCAAGTTAGTTTGAGAAAAATATCAAAGAAATTGTGTATCAATTCATATCTCCCACTTATGAAGAAATACATCTAAACCTGTATTTATATTTCTGCTTGTACATGAATATATGCAATTATTGCACTTTTTGATGACATGCGCATACTAATTGTTATGTATCACCTTACAGGTTAATCCGATTTCGGCGAAAATGTTATCAAAATGGTCGTCAGGCTTAAAGATACTATGTCCCTTTTGAAACCCGTTTGCTTTCTAGACTTCACTGTCAGACCCTATTGATTGACTGACTGGCTTTGTTCTTCTTTGGTATTAACATACATAAAATGAGCTGTAAAGGGTACATGGGCATTTGTCTACATCAATAACCCACTTCTTGTAATGGCCATTATTAAAATGATTGGATCTTTGCGCAGCATAAAACGTACGACCCTTCGGTAACATGGTCTGAAAATTAGACTATTACTTACTGACTCTATAGCTCTTGAGTCGATTCGACAACTAATAGTTGTCATTTTCCCACTTTAAAACATTTTCAAGCCCTCTGTTGTTTAGGGAAGTTCTAAATTAGTATTATCTTTCAAATGCCGTTGGAATTTTAACCTTTTAATTTGTTTGGCCTGCAAATGGGTCATAGTACCTTTAAGGAAAAGAAATAATGAAACGACAATTTAAAATACAAAGCGGCTGCGGTGCAGTCTCCAACAAAAAGAAAGGGAGGCCTCCCAGGCCCTCCATCCGTACAATAAGGCTTAAACGGACCACAAACAACAAAATGGCATCCGGACGGTTACGCATGAGTGCTTTGAGAAAACGAAGAGCCAGGTGACCTTGATTGGATGCTGGAAAATTCACCTTCGAAGTTTGACAGGAACTGGCATAGAGGAAAGGACCTGGATAGGGCACACAAGCACTACGTGGAAAGCGAATGGGATTATGAAAATATTAGATTAAGAAGAAGAATACGATTTCAGAACGTCAATCCCTTAAGAAAAGAGACAAAAAGACAACGATGATGATAACTATACCTACTTGTTATAGGAAAATTACTAGAATTCATTAATTTACTAACTTACCTTGATCGATATTGTAAGTCGAATGACCCTCTATTCTGCCATTACGAGTCAGGTAAAGAACTGCAGCACCTGCACATACAACGAAGAAGCAGAGTGTAACCAGTTGGTTCCGTCTAGGCATCCTGACGATTGACACACTATTAAGCCTTGTAGGAACCTAGGTAATCATTACTTCCCGTCACCCTCTCTTCTGACCTAGACTACGTCATCCCGACATGTATAACCTCGATACACGCAGAACCTGTAGTAAAGTCATACAGCGAAAACGCATTTATAATCCAACCGTAAGTGAGACGACGATCACTAGATGTGAGAAGTTTACCGCTAACTTCCTTTGGCAAGACATCAATCTACAATCGCCACACTAGACCCGGGTGTAGTTATAATGGGTACCTTGCAGAAATTTTTTCCTTGAAATGCGGGAGCGCAGCTGTAAAGTCAGACATGTAAAAGCTGCCAGAGTTCCAAGTGTTTTGTGACAGGCATGCACGCTTTACAAGAACCCGCACTATGATGTATTGATGGTATGACGTAACAAGGGAGAAGGAGGATATACCATCAAACAAAAGATCCATTCATGATAATGCTCTTTTCAGTTCACCTCGCTGTTTGATAATGTAGAGTTCTTTGGAGCGAATACAAAAGGAAGTTTGCTCTAAAGAAAGAACAGGATATGTAGCAGGATTTCACGCTCGTGATTTAGGAGAGAACAAAAGATTGACATTCCAAGGGGTATTTTAATTCAAAATAATTCTATAGCTCTTTTAACCAGTGGAATGAATAGAATCTCGCTTTTTTAAGAGAGACCAAAAACTGTATTGAGCTAATGAAACATTCCTTTGTTAAGGAAAGAATAATAAAAAAAAAGGAACTGAAAAAAAATCATCTATGTTATCATTTTGTATATGAATCGAGCTGACTAGGGCGGAGAAAAGTTAATGATGATGGGATTCTTTTACTTCACCTCGCTGTTGGATAAAATTAAGGAGTGATCACAAAAGAAACAAAGATTTTAAAATAAAGAACATGAACTTTTTCGATCACAAGTGTGTGATTTAAGAAGAAGAGAAACAATTCCGTCTCGTCAGGGTGTGTTTGTTTTATATTAGCATTTTGAAGAAAGAAAAAAAAATTCACAGATCGGTTGAACTTTTTAGACCCCCCCCCCCCCTTTTTTTTTACCTCGATCGATTACATGTATGTCCCCCCCCAAAAAAAAACAACAACATCGAACTCTGGCTACGTGCCTGCATATGACCAACTGCGAAGTCAAAGAGTACATATGGGTACAACCTATCGATGTACCAGTCCTAGAGGGCGTTCAGCAGCTTCGTGGTGACGCGAGGGTGAATGAAATTCAGTGGCGGTACCTTGTGTTAGGATTCGTTTTGGTTTGATTTCCATTCTCACCCTTGCCACCTGGTTTGATATTATCATCATCAATTTGTCGAGAAAAGATCCCACGACTTAACATTCTCGTTGAGCCCATCGCACAAACTGCAAAATGTATGTATAAGAAGATAATCTTCAGCGACGGAAGAGATACTTTTTTTTGTTTCTTCTTCTTTTTTCTGTTCTTTCTTCGTCATGTAATTTGTTACGTCTTCTTGTTTACAGTCATTACGTGTTTTAATAAATGTTCTCTGTTGGCCACTATTCTTCTTTCATTGATAATGAATTCCATATTTTTTCACACTCATTATTATCTGAGGGGTCCACAATTTACAAGCTCTGCTTTTCAGTAGACCTCTCCATTTCCTCAAAATATAAATGCAGTTATATTTTAAAATTTATTTTTTGTCTTCCTAAAATGTATTAATTATTATTAAGATTTGTTTATTACAAATGTAACTATGTTTTATATATATTTTACATTGTATTCATTATTATGTATTGTATTTTGTTGGAAATGAAAAAATAAAAATGAAATGAAATGAAATACTTATAATAGACTAAAAAAGAAAAAGGGTTCTGTTTTACATATTTACGTACTTACGTGCTCTTTTATTATATTGTTTTGAGCAAATTGAGTATATACAGATATATGTGTGTGTATGTGGGTGTGTGTGTGAGCGTGTGTTCGTGTGTGTATGTACACTGTTGGTCATAATGGTGGAATATTTATTTTTACCCCAATTTATTGAATGATTTTGACAATGAATAGATCTAGATAATAGTATACATTCTCAGATTTTATTGAATGACAATTGGGGAGTGTTTGTTTTGCGTGACTTCTAAATCATGTGTGTGCTACTATGCTAATCAACTAGGGGACCTACGTTCTTAAGTCATAACTGACAGTAATGGGGATAATGCCTCATAAAAGGGCACTAATATAGCACATCTACACGGTTTTGATAAAAATAATTATTCCACCATTAATATGACCAACGGTGTATATACAAAATAGTCCCCAGAGCGAAATCCTCTCTATCTAATGATTTACACTTTAATAAACAAAAATGCTATTCCATTTATGCTTAACACAATTGGCGAGCACATCGGGTGAAATGGGGATGTGATTGTGTCTAATAATTGCTTTGTCATATTAAAAGGGTCCTGTTCAAAAAACAAATTGTTATGAATGACAACAGCCACATGTCTATTACTATGATAACAGATAAAAGTGGTTCACCTGCACCGAATCCAAAACAGCCATTTGCCACATGAAATTGTTCATAGGAAATAGTGTGTGTGAGAGAGATAGAGAGAAAGAGATAGAGAGAGAGAGAGAGCACTGAATTTCAAGGAAATAATGCAATAACAATTTTAAGGTGTAAACTACAATTTCTATTGCTCAAGACGGATTCCTTGAAAGTTTTGAATTGCTAAAACTCGAAAGCATCCGATCCCGACAGGGCTCTGCCCTGCAACACAGGGTCTTAAGCATAGCCAAATACAGTAACAGGACAGGACCTTGGACCCTACCCCGAAGGAGTCACGCTTATGCTCTTTGGGTTACGCCCAACTCCCCTCCTTTTCGTAAATCCTGGATCTACCGCTGTCATGGTAACAGTAACACTACATTTTCGATAAAATATACCCTGGAGGATTTGTCCTAAGACCAAGAATTGTCGGGCACCGTTTAATATTTCTTATGAACCATTTAAATGACTCGTTCAATCATGATATTACTATCGCTCTTCAATCCCAAATACGTTTTACACGCATAAAACCAGTCCCCCAGCCTCTCCGATTAATAATTATAATTTCCCTTCTACTTCTTTAGTACACCCTCTCTTTCTCTGTTTCTCCCTCTGTTTCTCCCTCTGTTTCTCCCTCTGTTTCTCTCTCAATAGTATACATACATACATACACAACATTTGATTTGATTTGAATTGATTTATTGGTTTCTGCATCTTTTTTCTTTTTTTCACATTACATTTTCATGAACATGATATGGTTGGATACAATAGTATAAGTTTATATAATTGCATAAAGATAATAAACGAAATTTAGGGGGTAAGGGCACATAGTTTTGTCTTGTCCCGAGAATTGGAAAATTATGCCGACCGATTTTCGTTCAGTGGGGGGGGGGGGGGGGGGGGGGGGGTAAGTTTTTTTTTCACCATTTAGCACACCAAAAATAATATTTTTTTCCCCCTTTTTTTTCTTTATTTGACATAAAAGTGAGGGGGGTTATCCTCCGATAAAAAAAATATAACAAAAAATTGAGGGGGGAGGGTTAACCCCAACCCCCCATCTACGTACGCGCCTGATACACACACACACACACGCACACACACACACACACCTGTTTATGTATATACATATATATATATATATATATATAGACAAATTTGGTACTTAATTATTTGACGAACTAATTGCTAAGAAAGTTCGGATGTTATAGTAACAGGAGGTGTACAAAAATATACATGTAGCATAAGTCTTTCATAGCGGTTTTGTAATTGTTGAACTCTTGTAATATTGCATATTACACTCTGTGTTCCCATATTATATTACAGTAGTCAATGTGAGTTAAAAAGAGATTATTATAAGTCATTACTAGGACTTGCTTGGGCAAGATATACCGAATGCGTCTGATAAAACTAATAGCTCTTGACAACTTATTATATAATACATTAAAGATAAAGTTGAGTTCTGGTCATGCGATTGCATTGTTAAAGAAAAGGTGTGGAATGGTTCAGAAACAAAGTTGATCATGAAGCATGTATTGGTGTGTACTGCAAGGTTCTGGAGTCATCAAAATCATAAACAATTTGGCCCAGTCTTGGTAAAGTAACATGCACTGTACACAGAAAGATGTATACGGGACTACACAAATGGTGTCGGGGCTACTTACCTTGATGTCCTTATCTTAGTATGATCATTACTCAGCCGAAATACATTTCTACCAACATTGTTTGGCAAATGACATTTATTTGTAATCTTGAACATTCAGTGTAAGTTTCGTTTGATCTTGTGAGAATTTATTTTCTTCTTTATTTTACCAGAACTCAAGTTTATCTTTAATATGACAATCCCAACGTAGGCAAGAGTCTATTATCAACCTGAGGTACCTAAATTGAGCATCTTGTTCGAGTGTGTTATGATTTACTTGCATTTGCAGTTCTTTATTCTTCACCTCTGGACGAGTCCCAATCAAGATCCAATTTCTTTTCTTTATATTTAAGATTGTTATCAATCTGTTGTAAGATTTTATTCATTCCAAACTCTAGCTCTTTCTGAATGAATGAAACCGCTTTATCCCGACAAGATATAGCAGAATAGTCTGTATACATATCATTTGAACTGATTACCAAACTTGTTATTACATGCATCACTCAAAAATGTAGAAGATAACATTGGCCAAAGCATACTCCTTCGGGTTCACCTTTTGATATAGGTCTGAAATCTGATGAATATTAACTCAACACATTGTTCACGGCAGTGTAAATAATTCGACAACCAAATTGCTTCTGTTTCGTTAACGCCGTAACTCGATAATTTAGATAAAAGTAAGTTAAGCGATACCGAATCAAAGGCGCTTTTTAAATCTATGAAAACTACTCCAGTCACTAAACTGTCTTCGATCTAAAGTACAATATATTCATTAACATCAATTAAAACACTACTTGTTGAATGTAGTATACGAAAGCCAGATTGCCGGGGACTCAATAGATCTAGAACATTGTCCGCAAAATAATTGTAAAGTTGAGAGTGTAAAGCTTTTTATAGTATTTTTATTATTTGCGAGAGAGCTAATAGAAGTCTATGGGTTTGTAATTTCTTGTTTTTAAACAGAGGAGTAACTCGTGCCCTTTTCCAATTTTTCGGAATGCAACCTGTTCGAAGGAATGTATTGAAGATGTGATTACATCACAAATAAAAAAAAAAGCTATAATATAGTACATGTACATCCGAGCTACATAAAAAGTGACCAGCAGCAAAAGCGGAAATATAAATTTGCCCTCCGTGACTTCTAAGTGGTAGAGGCAATCCTCATCTTCTCCTACCGTTATCATTTCTACATCAGAAAGC